CGCCACGCCCGGCCCGGCACGGACTTGGCCCACCTCCTCGCGTACGGGGGCCCGGACAGGACTGCGCCCCCCGTGCCCTAGGCCGGGGCCCCCGCGCCTCGGCGGCGCCAGCCACGGGAACCAGGAGCGAGGGCCCGGGCCAGCTCCGAGTGGGTGCTCAGCTCCCCCCGACCCCGTCCAGCCCGGCCGCGTCGGGGGCCGCCCTCCGCCGCACGGAAGCACAACGGGCTCGCCCCCACCCCCTCGCCCGGCCCCCGGGGCCGCAGGACACTGAGGCGGACCGGGGTGGGCGTGCGGGAGGAATGTGCTGTGGATTTGAGGTTGACCTTCTGCGCGTGGATTTTTTTGGTTTGTTTTCCAGTTTGCGTTTCTTTTGCAGTTTTCTAACCAGTTGCACAACTCCGTTCTCGGGGTGGCGGCCGGGGGCTTGGAGGCGGTGGGAAGAGGGGGCACGGCCGCAGACCCAAGCTCCCCGTCCCACCCAAAGGCCCTCCTCGCCCTGGGTCCCCGGCGTGTGTGGGTGTGTGTGTGTGTGCATGCCGTGTCTGTGTGCAAGGGGCCAGGGAGGGGAGGGAGGCGTGCGTGTGTGCCCGAGGGCTGCTGCCGCGTGTGCGTGGGGGCGACCACGTGCAGTGTGCGTGTCTGTGTGTGAGCGGAGGCCCCAGCGGCCTGGGTGTTGGCTGAGCCAACGCCGGGGCTTCCAGAAGGCCGGGGGGCCTCCAAGGTGCCGGTTAGGAGTTTGAGGGGAGATGAGGAGAGGGTTCCAGGCAGGGGGTTGGGAAGGCCTGCCCAGAAGTCATATTGGCAGCTGTCTAAGGGCTCGGGGGTCTAGGGGACGGCAAAGGTGGGCGGGTCCCCCTGTAAATATGGCCCCAGGGTGGTCAGAGGGTCCCATGCCACCCGTCCCCTGTGACCTCCCCCTTGGCCTCCAGCTGACCGTGCATGCCAGCTGAGTGGCCAGCTGAGTCCTGGACCCTCTCTGGAGTTTGCCCCCCACTCCCCCATCAATAAAACTGTTTACAACCACCGGCCCCCAAGGCTCTGGGTCTGCTCTGTCTCCTGGAGGTGGGACTTGGACAGCGGCGTGGCCTGGGGCAGTTGGGAGCCCCCATGAGAGTCATGGCAAGGTCACAGCAGCGACAGGATTTTGGGGAGCTGGATGTGGAAGTGGGAGAGTTTTAGGGGTCCCCAACTTCATCAAAATGGGGGCCAGTGTCTGGTAGTTCAGCAAATATTTACTCTGCACCTACTATGTGCCAGACACTGTGGGGACAAAGACCCCTGTCCTGATGGAGTTCACGGCCTAGTGGGGGAGACTGACCACATACAAGCAAATCAGGACCTGACTTGAATTAGTAGTATGTGTAATGAAGAAAAAAAACAGATAACGTGCTAGGTAGGGGTGACTGTATGTTGGGATGGGGGTGGGGTTGAAGAAGGCCTGCCAAAGAAGGTGACATTTAAGCTAAGGTGGGATGGGCTGGTAGAAGCAGTTGGGGGGAGATGTGCAGAGAGAGTGTTCCATGCAGCGGCGACAACCAGTGCAAAGGCCCTGTGGTGGGAACAAGGTTGGAGGAGGGCCAAGGCGGTTAGTGTGGCTGGAGCAGCGTGGGTAAGAGGGGAGTCCAGGGCCCCAGGCAGGCAGGGCCTCTCAGGTGAGGAGTACTATTTTTTTAATTGTAAATAACAGAAAAGATAAGATTTACCACTTGAACCATTCTTAAGTGTACTGTTCAGTGACGTTAAGCACATTCACATTGTTGTACCATCATCCCCGACATCCATCTCCAGAATTTTTCCGTCTTCCCAAACTGAAACTCTGTCCCCTTGAAACACTGATTCCCCATCCCCCTCCTCCAGCCTTATGAACTTTAAGTGGGACCGGAAGCCATCAGAGAGATTTAAGCGGGGGACATGATCTGATTTCATTTTAAGAGCTCATGTTAGCACTATGTCATTACAGCTCACAAGGCTTCCTTCTAGCCCATGTCGATAAAGCACCTCTTGTGCGCTGGGCTCTGGGGACTGAGCAATGAACAAGATGGACCCCCTCTCCCATTATCATGAGGAGACTGATTTAAACAAAGAAACACAAAACAACGTGACAGCAATTAGCAGCTCCTCCTGAACATGTCTTGTTTTTTTCAGCTTGACTGAGATATATTTGACATATAACATTGTATAGGTTTCTGGTGTACATCTTGATGATTTGATATATTTGATATGTATTGTAAGATTATCACCACAATAAGGTTAACACCTCCATTACCCCACATAGTTACTGTATGTGTATGTGTGTTAAGAATGTTTAAGATCTAATCTCTTAGCAACTTTCAAGTATATGACACAGTATTGTTAACAGTAATCCCACGTTGTACATTACATCCCCAGGATTTATTCATCTTATAGCTGGGAATTTGTACCCTTTGACCAGCGTCTCCCTATCTTCCCCTCCCCCCAAGTCCCTGACAACCACCATTCTACTCTTGGTTTCTATGAATTTGGTTATCTTCTATAATTGAGATCACTCAGCCTTTGTCTTTCTCTGCTTATTTCACTTAGAATAATGCCCTCATTTCATCCATGTTGTCACAAATGTCAGGATTTGCTTGTTATAATTGAATAATATTCCACCATATATATACATATATATATATGTATCACATCTTTATCCACTCGTCTGTTGATGGACACTTAGGCTGTTTCCATGTCTTGGCTGATGTAAGTAATGCTGTAATGAACATGGGAGTGCAGATACCTCTTCTTCTTCTTTTTTTTCTTAATGTCTTTTTTTTAAATGGAGGTACTGGGGGTTGAACCCAGGACCTCATGCATGCTAAGCACGTGCCCTACCACTGGGCTATACCCCACCCCACAACAGATATCTCTTCAAGACCCTGATTTAATTTCCTTTCCATACATACCCAGACGTGGAATTACTGGATCATAGGATAGTTCTATTTTTAATTTTTTGAGGAAACTCCCCTACTGTTTTCCATAGCAGCCGTACCAACCTACATTCCCACCCACAGTGCCGAAGGGTTCCCCTTCTCCACATCCTCACCAGCACTTGTTATCTCCTCTTTTTGGTGAAGCCGTTCCGTCAGGAGTGGGTGACGTCTCACTGGTTTTGATTTGCATTCTCCTGAGGAGGAGTGAGTTGAGCGCCTTTGCGTGTACCTGCTGGCCATCGGTATGTCTTTGGAAAAACGTCTATTCAGGTCCTTTGCCTTCTCGTGTGTGTCTTTTTTCCATCTCTGCAGACCTGCTGTTCTCTCCTGTGTGTCCTGCTCTGCCTGTGTCTCTGGTTCTGTGTATTTCCCCCATCTCTGTGTCCCTGCCTGTGTCTGGGTATTCATGTAGGTGGTTGTCTGGCTGTCTTTGTATGTGCCTTCCTATGCCAGCCTGCCTGTTACCCTTTCAGCTTATGTGTCCACTAAGACAGAACTGAATAGGGACAAAATCCTTCAGAAATTGGGCTGGGTTTGAAAAGAGGCCATGGCCAGACATGCAGATAAAGATGATACATCACACCTGGATGTTTAGAAACTCAGCAAGAATTAAAGCACTGAATAACTGAATAACCAAGCCTGTGAGATACGGTCAAAGCAGCTTCCAAAGGGAAATGTGTAGCCTCCAAATACATTTATTAGGAAGTGAGAAAGATCCAAAACAAATAGCACTTAAGTTGAAGAAAGGTCAGAAGGGGCCCTCGGAGAAGGAGGTCAACTTCACAGATGGAGAAACTGAGGCCAAGAAAAGTTAAGCCGCTTGCCCAAGCTCACAAAGCAAAGCAGGCACAGCAGAGCTGGGATTCGGAACAAGGTAAGAACCAGATTTAGTTCCTTTTAGACTGTTGTTCAAAGACAGTAGAGACTTTTGGCATCAATTTTAAATTCTATTTTTAAAAAATTATTTTATTTAAAAAACCCAATAACAATATGTCATGAATTTAAGACAAGTGTTTTTTTGTTCTCTTCACTGAGCTTCCTGGTGGCTCAAATTTTTTTGTAAATAGTATCTCTTGCTCAAAGAGCTGTCCCCATCCCCCAAGACTGGGGCCTTGCAAACTTGACCCTTGATTCCTAGGTTGGGGGAAGTGGGACTCAGCCTCAGATACCTTTCCAAATGCAGGAATCAGGGGTGGGGGGGTAGGGGGGGTGGGAGGGGTGGGGACTGAAGAGAAGGCAGTGGGCAGCCCTCCTCCTCTCCTCTCCCGGCCAGGAAGCAATTTTGCAATCCTGACTCCTCCCTTTCCCCTGCCTGGCTTAGGTCCAGCCCCTAACAGGCACAGGACGTGGGTAGGGACTTCCCTATGGTTGGTGCCCCTGCCCCCAGCCCAGGCAGTTATAAGGCCACCTTGCCAGACCAAGGGAACCTGGATGGAAAAGAGAAAGGCCGCCATGTCCTCTTGGAGCCTGGAGGGAAAACAGAGGTAGGTCCTCACCCCACCATCCTGGGCAGGCCTGGACACCAGATGGTACAGAGATGGATAGTAGTCCTCCTGTCCCACTGAAGTCGCAGAGCCAGACATAGGCCTGCAGACTGGAACAGACTGACACCCAGGCTCAAACTGGACAGATTCACTCCCATACACACGCTCACTGCAGAAGCCCCAGGTGGTCCACGGGCTACAGCCACCAAGGATGTTTGGGTGGTTTCTGGTGCTACTGGCTAGGACATCACTGCTGGAGGCACCAGAAGGAGCAGAAGCCCCAACCCTCCAAGGGTTACAGTGCCAACTGTAAGTCACCCTCTCCCAAAGCCAAATGCCAGCCCTGTGCAAAGGAGGATGCACTTTTCATGCTTAGAGTCCTGTTTGTACCTGGAGTCCTGGGTTGCACCCTAGCACTTTGGAATAAGATGGGGCCAGACACATGTAACCTAACCTGGTTTGGTCAGGGCTGGACAAAAAGAGAAGGAGCCCAGAGGGGGAAACTGAGAGTTCTGCTTGAGAAGTTCAGAGAAAGCTTTGTGGAAAGTAGGGCATTGGAGCTGGGGCTTTGCAGGATGAGTAAGAGCTCTTGGGCTTTGCCTTCAAAACATGGAGCCAGGGAGAAAAGAAATGACCCAGGAAACAAGTGAGAGCAGAATAAATTAGTGAGTAATTAATAGGCCATTTGGGGCTGGGCTGGCAATGGGGAAGGGTAGCATTTAGGAGTCAGACTAAGAAACTCAGATTTCATAGAAATAGAATTATTCCTAGGACAGGAGCTATTTCTGGCTTTGTAGGGGGCAAGGGTGGATGCAAGGAGAGGAAGAGGAAGTTACTGCACTAGGCCAGCCCAGCAACGAGGTGGCATGGTCCAGAGTGGTAGAAATAGAGACAGGAAGAAGCAAGCAGGTATATTTCCACCTGGATGTACATCTTTATTTTGACTTATTAAGCACTTTCTGTCATTGCCTGCAGCCCAGCCGGCTGGGACCCCCATCTTTCTAGAATCCTCTTCCTGCTACTGCTCTTTGTGACCTCAGCCCAGGGGGTCACCCCAAATCCGAATCCTGATGCCTGCCTGGTATCCCAGTCAAGCAATGGCAGCTCTGTCTCCTGCCACCCACCTGCCAAACTCCCCCACTCCCTCCCAGCTGACACCATCTACCTGGCCATGGAGTTCTTGAACCTGACTCAGCTGCCTGCCAACACCCTCCAGGATGTCCCTAACCTGCAGGAACTGCACCTTTCCAGCAACCAGCTGGAGGACCTCTCTGCCAAGTTCTTGCTGCCTGTGCCTCAGCTAAAGGTGCTGGACCTAACCCGCAATGCCCTGACCCGGCTGCCCACCGGCCTCTTCCAGGTCTCGGCTGCCCTCCACACCTTGGTGCTGAAGGAAAACCGGCTGAAAGGCCTGGAGGCCTCGTGGCTGCATGGCCTGAAAGCCCTGGGGCATCTGGACCTGTCGGGAAATGAGCTCCAGATGCTGCCCCCTGGGCTGCTGGCCAACTTCACCGACTTGCACACCCTTGACCTAGGCAATAACCACCTGAAGACTTTGCCCCCTGATCTTCTGAGGGGCCCCTTGAAGTTGGAACGGCTTCACCTGGAGGGCAATAGATTGCAGGTGCTTGGAGAGGAACTTCTGGAGCCCCAACCAAAACTGCGCTACCTTTTCCTGAGCGACAACAGGCTGGCCACAGTGGCAGCCGGTGCCTTCCGAGGTCTGCAGAGGCTGGACATGCTGGACCTCTCCAACAACTTGCTGACCACTGTGCCCGAGGGGCTCTGGACATCCTTGGGAAAGGCCGCCGGGAACATGAAGGACGGTTTTGACATCTCCGGTAACCCCTGGATCTGCGACCGGAAACTGGACGACCTCTACCAGTGGCTTGTGGCCAATGAAGACAAGATGTTCTCCCGGAATGACACACGCTGCGCTGGCCCTAGAGCCTTGAAGGGCCAGATGCTCTTGGCAGTGGCCAGGTCCCCTTGAAGGGCTGAGGTGGGGGTGGGAAGACAAGGCTTGGCAGAACACTGCACCCCACTTAGCAAATAATCCCACCTTCTGAGGGTGAGACTGGGGCTTCCAATTGTTGCCAGGACCTGTTTCGCCAACACTTCCCAAAACCCACCTGGGGCTTTTCCCTGCCTCTGCAATTTGCTCAAGCTATACCCTCTTCCAGAGGCACCATTTCCCAGATCTCTTGGTCTCTGGCTCCCTCAGCCTGCCCTGGCCATCTGACTCTGTCCCCTAGTTTGAGGGGTTCTCTGAGTGCAGGGCCTGGGGCTGGGTTCCCCTTAACCTAGCATTACTGCGTTTGGGGTCAGACCAGAAGAGGTTAATAAATAACTTGGAACGGAATTGGATGTATTTGCTGTGTCCCTAACATCTCCCAAGTCGAATTCTTAGGTCTCCAGGATGAAGCTGGAGGACAGAGGAGCCATGCCATGAAATCCCATACGAATGGCAATTGGGATCTGACAGCCATGACTGCTCCTCCCCCTCTCCCCGTCCCAGGACTGAACTGGAAATAAAACCCTGACCATTGCCCTGGGTGTCATTTTACCAGTGGATTCCTGCCAGAGCTTGCGTCCTGGGGAAGGTTTAAATTAAACCAGATTGCTTCAGGGCTCCAAATAATTTTTCACACTGGCCCATGATAACCAGGAGGGCAGCTGCCCAGGGCAAGTGTGGGCAGGCTGGATAGGGCTGAACACCTGGGCAGAGGCCCAGGGGGGCTGTATTTTCACAGTTCCAGAACCTCTGGGCCACCTGCCAACACAGCGTTGGGCATGGTGGGGTCAAGGTCAGACTGGGAGGATGGTGGGATGTTTGGGCATGCTCGGTTTTTGACGCTCCCTGGAAGGAGGGAAGTGCCCACATCGGTGGTCATTCCGGAGTGGCAATGAAAGCCAGGGTTCTGGAGTCTGGCAGAGCTGGGGTTGAATCAGATTGTTCAATCACTAGGCGACCTGAGGCAAGTGGTTTTAAGCACTGTGAGCCTCATTTTGCTCCTGCCTGTCTCCTGATTTAGTTAAGTGGCAGATTTTCAAAAATAAAAGGAAAGACCTTGAGAACTTGCCCAAGGTCACGGGGAGAATCTGTGGGGGCTGTAATCGCCCTCCACTGTCTCTGCTGCAACAGCAGTGAGGGTGACAGGTGGCCAATTTGGCCAACAAAAGTAGCTCAATCCTTGGGCACCAGCGTCTCCAGGTTGCTATGGCAACTGAGAAGCGCTCCAGGAGCCACTAGGAAGAAGGGGAGGGGTCTTAAGCCCCGCCCTCGGGGCACGCCCCCCGACAGCCTTTCTCCATTGGTCGGGACCTTGGGCCCTGCCCCCAAGCCGCTATAAGGTGGGCAGGGTGGGCTCGGGGTGGAGACTGGAGCCTGAGTCTAGGGTCCGCCGCGGTACCTGGGGGCTGAGGCTGCACGCGCCCAGGTGAGTGCCGCGCGGGCAGCGTCCAGGAGCGCCCTGCAGCCCGGTGGGTGGGTGGGTGCGCGAGCGGGCGAGCGAGAGTCCAGCGGCTTAGGGAGATAGGGATGTGATGGGCCGGAGCAGGTGGCTGAGACCCTTGGCCCAGTTGGCCCAAGCTCAGGACCCAGTTGGGCGAGGACTAGGGTTCAGAGGATGCTGGGTGGGGACAGGGGAAGTGCTGCAGGCGGGGAGTGTGAGGTAGAACTCCCAGTCTGAGTGTACTTAACTGAATGACCTTGGGCCCAACATGGACCCGCTGTGGGCCTCAGTTTCCCTGTCTGTCAAGCTGGACTGTGGGTTTACTGGGATTCCAGAGCTACCACCAGCACCCCTGCAGGGGACTACGTGCCCAGTTCTGTCCCAGGCCGGGGGCAACAGGCATCTGCCTCCCTTTGCAGCCCACGCAGGTGAAGGCATTCGCCCAGAGTCAGGGAGCCGGTCAAGGCAGGATTCAAATGCTGGTGTCTCTCTCCCCAGAGCCCATGCTTTGAATCACGACAGGGGCCCCACCTTGCCAGAGGCTCTCAAGTGTGCACCTACTGTAAACCTGCGCACGCACTGTCCTTGCTCGTGATGATCTGAAGTAGGTATCATTACCCCATTTTGCAGATGAGGAAACTGAGGCCCCAAGAGGGAATGAGACTTGCCTGGGTCACAAAGCCCAAGCCGGACAGAGCCCAGGGCCTGGGCAGCAGCCGGGAAAGCTGGGGTGTCGGGGCCCTCACTCTATCCTGCCCCCCAGGGTGACCTGTTTGCAGCAGGCATGTCAGAAGAGGAGGCAGCTCAGGCCCCCAGAACCAGTTTGTGGGAGCAGGACCAGCAGGTGAGGGGCTGTGGCCCCCGTGGAGCAGGGCACGGGAGAGGGTGGGGGGACAGTCCCTCCTAGGGTAGTTTCAGACGGGATCTGCTCCACTCACCTCTATCCTTGTTGTGAGTGCCTCACTCACACCATTTTGGACCGTGGGGGTGGAGGAGAGGCACATTCTACCCATTTCCCAGAGGGGCAAAGTGAGGCCCAGGGAGGTGCATGTCTCTCCAGACATTCCCGGCCAGCTTACCTGGCCTCTGCTCAACTCTCTCCCTCTCCCATCTCTGGGTCTCTGACTGTATCTCTCTGTTTCTGTGTCCACCATCATGGCACTCTTAACAACAACAATAAAGTAGCAGCAATCATAGCCTAAACTCGGCATCACTCAGTGTCCCAAGCAGCCACATATATCGGCTCCTTGAATCCCCACCACAGCCCTAGAGACCCATTTTACAAACGGGGAGACTGAGTCACAGAGCAGTGCACTCACTTGCCGAAGCTCGCACAGCTTGGAAGTGGCCAAATCGGAACCAAACACAGGTCGTCTTGCTTCAGAGGCTGTGCTCTTAATGGCCAGACATTAGTGGCTCTTCCCTGGAGCAGAGCAGCCTAGTTCTTTCAGACCTGGTCCCACTCTGTGTATGCTATTGAGAACAGGCGCGCCTCTGGGTGGGTCTCTGTTGCCTCTACACAGCTGTGCTCAGAGCGCGCCCCGCCCCCCGCCCCGGCCCCTCTTGCCCACCCCTCGTCCTGGCCCAGAGAGGGTGAGTGGGCTATCCAGCATGTGGCTGAGCCCCTCACCACCCCTGAGGTCCCCGCTGATGCCACCCCTTCCTGCAGAATGTGCTGCAGCGTGTGGCGGCCCTGCCCCTGGTCAGGGCCACGTGCACTGCAGTCTCCGATGCTTACAGTGCCACCAAGGACAAACACCCACTGCTGGGCTCTGCCTGTCACCTGGCCGAGCGCTGCGTGTGCAGCCTGACCACCCATGCCCTGGACCACGCCCAGCCGCTGCTCAGCCACCTGCAGCCCCAGTGTGAGTCATCCAAGCCCATGTCCTGGGTCCTGTGGTGCGTCCCACTGCCCCCACCACTCACGCTCCCTCTGCATGACGTGGGCTGCCATGGACCCCAGGGGCCTGGCATTCCTCCTCGCCTTACCTATCCTGTGTGCCTTTAGTCTCTGCCTGCCTGTCCCCCAGCCACCTGTGTCACCCTCTCTTGGGTCCTTCTGCCTGCTCCATCTTCCCTTCCATTGTCTGCCTTTCCACCCCCTCATTGTACCTGCATCCCTCCTGCCCTCTGCCTCTGCTTATTGTCCCTCTGCAGTTTGATCGCCTGGCTGACTGCCCTGAGCTGTTTACTTGTGGTCCCCTTTCTTTTGTCCCCATTTTGTCCATCTCACTGTCATCTCTTGGCCTGATGTGCCTTGAGTCCAGCCTCTCTCCCCTGTCTGCCCCTCTGTCCCTGCCTCCGCCTGTCCTGAGCCTGAGACTAGCTCAGGAGTCCCACTTGGTGGTGGGGGAAGGGGGCAGAGAGACCCTGGGCCTCACATCTCACTGAGGAAGGGGATCACCTGAGGGTCCCAGCCCAGGGCCTCACCTGCTTCCTTCTCAGCTGGCTTATGTGACCTTGAACCTGCTTCCTGGGGCATATGAGCTGGGCGCCAGTGAGGAGTCACCTTGGTGCTGGCAGTAGCCAGTGGTAGGGCAGAGGCGAGAAGGGCAGAGAGGTGGGGTCCAGCCTGGTGGCCCAGCCACACCCTCAGGGCCCCCCAGCCCCTTGCAGGGAGCCAGCCAAGTGCCCCCCATGATTCAGGCCCCTCTCTGTCTCTCCCAGTTTCTCTCCTTCCCTCTGTGTGTGTCTCCTTTTTTCTCTGCCTCTCCCCCAGCACCCCCTCCCTCTGTGACCCTCTGTGTGTCCCTATCTCCTGCCACATCTCCCCGATTCTCACTCCCTGCCTCTCTGTCTGCAGTGGCTACAGTGAACAGTCTAGCCTGCATGTGCCTGGACAAGCTGGAGGAGAAGCTGCCCTTTCTCCAGCAACCTTCGGAGACGGTACCGGCACCGGCAGACTGCGGGGACCTGCAGTGGGTAGAGGTGGGAGCGAGGAATACAGTCTCCTCTGAGCTGGCCTGGATGGCTGGGCTGGTTAGACTCCAGGGACGAGTCAGGCTTTTTTCGTCAACTTGCAAAACATCAGCCAGATGAAAATAATTGACACCCACATTTTCTGAGCACTTAATATGTGCCAGCTGGTGCTGAGAAGCCCATCGACAACCCTGTGAGGAAGCGATTTTCTTTCCCTCCATTTTATAGAGGGGAAACTGTGGCCCAAAGCCAGGAAAGGGCCAGGGGTCCTTGCCCTGAAGCCCCAGGGAGCTGAGGTCAGGGAAAGGGAGCTGGAAACCAGGGGTTCTTCCCGCCAGGTGGTGACCTCAGCCAAGGACGCAGTGGCCAGTGGTGTGACAGGCGTGGTGGGCCTGGCGCGGCAGGGCCGCCGCTGGAGTGTGGAGCTGAAACAATCTATGAGCCATGCAGTGGACGTCGTGCTGGGCAAGTCGGAGGAGCTGGTGGACCACTTCCTGCCCATGACCGAGGAAGAGCTCGGTAAGGTCCCTGAATCCTGCCAGTCCCCACCCCTGAGAGTTTTGGATCAGAGAGGTCTGGGACTCACCCAAGGCCACACAGCAGATCAGCAGGAGCTCCAGCCCAGGCCTGACCTCCCCGTCCACTAACACAGTCCCTGACACACACCCTCCTAGAAACTTGACTGCCCAGACCCCCAAGAGCATACAGGACTAGAGACTCGAGGGCCACAGTGTCAAACTGGCGGCCCTCCATATTGTAGTATTTGGCCTGTGCAATGCCTTTAAAATGGCTTAATTCATCACATGCATTGAAAAATCAGATTTTGTCCTACAAATCCTGATTTCTAGCTTGCCTTGAAAAACCGGACAGTTAGGTCGAATAGCATCCTCCCCTTTACATGGTTCCCTTAAACCCCACTATTCTCCAAGTTCTACATCCTGTCTGCTGACCCTGCAGGCCATCTGACTTCTCAGCTCTGCTTTACGGCCCTAGACGTACATGTGGACATACTCCATCCTTGGCAGAAAGGCTGTGAAGCATCTTTGAAACACCTACTGTGTGCCAAGCACTTGTGATCAGTTCTTTCAGAAGCAGTTAGGAGAATGGTTAAGAGTGCCTGGTTCGAATCCCACATCTGCCTCTTGAATGCTGTGGGACTTAACCTCTCTTATCTCCGTTTTCTTCATCTATACATGGACCTAATAATAGTGCCTGCATTGTAGGGCTTGGGGAAGGTCAAATGAGTTAATATGTAAAGGGAAACTATAAATTTAGGCACCCATGGGTTTGTCCACCCAGGAGGGTGAGCAGAGGCAGAGGGCGTGGCCACACTGACTCCCCACCCCTACCCCCTCCTGCAGCGGCACTGGCGGCAGAGGCGGAGGGCCCGGAAGTGGGCTCGGTGGAAGAGCAGAGGCGACATCAGGGCTACTTTGTGCGCTTGGGCTCCCTGTCTGCGCGGCTCCGCCACCTGGCATATGAGCACTCTCTGGGGAAACTGAGGCAGAGGAAACATGATGCCCAGGACACACTGGCCCAGCTGCAGGAGACTCTGGAGCTGGTGAGAGCCCTCTGCCCACCTCAGCCCGGGGATGCAGGCCAGTAAGCATGGACTGAGTGCCAGCGGAGTACTTGGTTCCGGGCTAGTCTGAAAGGGGAGGCAGAGCCATGTGTGTTCAGGGCTGGGGAGTCGGGGAACCTGGGCCGGAGGCACCCAGTGGGCACCAAGGCTCAGCCTGGAAAGTCAGGAGGGAAGTAGCAGCTGGAGACCACAGGCAGGGAAGGTAGATGAGAAGTGGGTGGAGGTGCTTCTTTCTGGGCTTCCCAGTCACCAACCCCAATCTTCCCCAGACTTTGGGTTTTACCTCATACCCAGCTTCTCCCCGCATCGTGCACCCCTCCCTGCTCCAAAGGAACTTCACAGCTCCTGTTTGCTGGGCTTGACAAGTTCAGACGCCCCCCACCCTGCTCCCCATCTCAACTGACGGCAGCTCTGTCCTTCCAGAGGCTCAGGCCAAAACCTGAGAGTCACTCTCAATTCTCCTCTTCTCCTCCTCTTCCTCATCCAACACATCAGCCAGTACTGTTGGCTCTGCCTTCAAAGTCTGCCCTGAGCCGGCCGACATCTCGTCCCTCCACCTGGGTCCAGGCTCTCATCCCATACCCCACAGCCTGTCTCTCCTGAAGCAGCCACCAGAGGGCACCTGTGAGCCCCACAGACGGCTAATTTCACTGAGCATGTGTTCTCATGGTTCATCCATATTGTAGCATGTGTCAGAATTTCCTTCCTTTTTAAGGCTGAATAATACAGTCGTTCCTCGGTATCCGTGAGGGATTGGTTCCAAGACCTCCCACGAATATTAAAATCCGTGGGTGCTCAGGTCACTTCTACAAAACAGCGTATGTAGTACAGTCTGCCCTCTGTATCCACTCAGTTCAACAAACTGAGAATTTTGGTTGAATCTGAGGATGAGGAACCCGTGGACACAGAGGGCAGACTGTTCTATCGTATGAATGAACCACAATTTATTTCTATTAATCTTCTAATACCTTTCCTGTCCCGGGCACTGAAGGCACAGTGGCCCCCTCAGGACACTCACAGTCTAGTAGGGGGATCAGAGTCAGGAGAGCATGCTGGGTGCTGTGGGACCCAGAGGAGGGATCCGCCCAGCCAGGAGTAGGGGAAGGAAGGCTTCTTGGAGGGGGTGATGGTGACATCTACAAGGAGACTTGAATTGGAGTGAACCAGGCAGGGGGAAGGGGAGTAGCTGACAGAGGCACCAGCGTGGGCAAAAGCCTGGCAGTGAACCTGAGCTTCAGGGGAACCACGGGTCACAGGGTCTAGCCAAAGGGCAGGCTGGCCAGGCTGAATCAGCAGGTGGGGAAGGTTATGTACAGGGGTTGTTCCCTAAATGCTTATTGAGGCCAGATCCAGGCTAGGGTCCTGGCTCCCCCAACCCCTGAATCCTCCAGCTCTGACTCCCACTCCACAGATCGACCGCATGCAGTGCGGGGTGACCCCAATCACCCCAGCCCGCCCTGGGAAGGTGCATGAGCTGTGGGAGGACTGGAGCCAGTGCCCCCCAGAGAACGGCCGCCGCCGCAGCCAGGTAGGATGGTGCGGAGAAAGGGAAAGTGAGGGTGGTCTGGATCTGCCCAGGGGCCAGACTCCAGCCATCTCCAACCAAGTGCTGAGGTCAGCTGGTTGGAGTGTCCCTGGGGAAACTGAGGCAGGGCAGTTTTCCTGGCGAAAGTCCTCCCCTCCCCTCCCCCGCAGGCGGAGCTGGAGACCTTGGTGCTGTCCCGCAGTCTGATGCGGGAGCTGCAGAGCACCGTGGACGTACTGGAGAC